GTCTGAAAAATACGCCGAAACTGCATCCTTCACTTCTTCGTCGCTTGAAAATTTCTGCCCACGAAGACTTTTTTCAAGTTTACGAATACGTAATAATCGCTGGGAGCAAGGTCAGAACTGTAGAGTGGGTGATCAAAAATTTCGTAGAAGGAGGACACCATTGGTCAATTTTCCTCTCCTTTTTTCTTTGACTGCTTCCTTTAACCGCTCTAGGATTGAAGCATAGTATTCGCCGGTTATGGAGCACCTTTATCTTTATAATAGATCAACAGAATCCCATCTGAGCCGACGGTGACATCTTAAAGTTCTTGGGTGGTGGTGTCACTTTTTTGTACCACTGCATAGAGTTCTGTTTGGACTCAGGTTCGTAATGAAGAACCCAAGTTTTTCAGTAATAATTCCAGTCAATACTCCATCTTTATCTTCACTACAGAGACCTAAAAACGCACGAGAACACTCCACACGCTGTTGTTTTTAAGTACACCTTTGGTCAATTTTCCTCTTCTTTCTTCCTTGACTGCTTCCTTTAACCGCTATAGGATTGAAGCATAGTATTCTCCCGTTATGGAGACACCTTTATCTTTATAATCGATCAACAGAATCCCATCTGAGCCTCAAAAGATTTTCCCAGCCGACGGTGACATCTTAAAGTTCTTGGGTGGTGGTGTCACTTCTTTGTACCACTGCATAGAGTTCTGTTTGGACTCAGGTTCATAATGAAGAACACAAGTTTATCAGTAATAATTCGAGTCAATACTCCATCTTTATCTTCACTACAGAGGTCTAAAAACGCACGAGAATACTCCACAAGCTGTTGTTTTTAAGGCGAAGTGAGCATTCTCGACACCCCTCTTGCGCTGACTTTTAGTCAATCCAAGATGATTGTGAAGACCTTTAAAAATGGTTGTATCTGATACTCCTACCATATCTGCGAGTTGTTTCTTCTTGAGTCGGGCATTATCTTCTGGTATTAATTTTTCGACTTTTTGAATGATTTCGGGAGTGGTTACTTCGATCGGCTGGCCTAGCCGTGGATCGCCTTCAAGTGAGTCCCTGCCTTGCTTAAAAAAAAACTTAAAAACTTTTGGGTGTTTCATTCCCACCAGCCAGTAATGCTGATGGGCGGGCAGTCTCTCCGGAATATGCCGGAAGGTAGGGCGGAAGGCCCTCTTCAGCGTGCTTTCAGGAATCGTGGGAATGGATGGGTGGTGGTTCCGGTGAGACGGACGAAATGAAGACAAACGAGAAATATTATCTTTGGAATATTACTGCCTCAGCATTTGCCTAAGTGATCCAAGGAAACCACAGAAAAACTTGGACCAAGGCAGACAGACCCGGAATCGAACGGGGTCCTCCCGAATGCTAAGCCTTTAACCTTCTAAACCTTTAGGCCATGCCGCTCGGTGCCTTGCTTAAAGAGGATTTGTCACTTATAAACGGTGGTTTTACCTGGGCAAGAGTCCCCGTAAACGAATGACATCTCTTCCAGTATGGTTTGATCTGATTTTCCTTGCTTGGTAAAGAACCCTATAACATTTTCTCCATATCTCACAATTTGTAAAAAGCGTCTGCTTTCCTAAATTGTTGAGAATGATGAAGCTTCTTTAAAGTTCGATGCTGGCAACATGCTCAAATTCTGTTTGTCTGCACCTCTTTCTGTTGGTGTATTGTTATTCCTTTTTCTTTATTAGTGTCCGCTGCAGTGGCGGACTAACAGGGGGGCGGGAGGGGCGTCCCGCCCCGGGCCTCCGGTCTTAGGGGGCCCCCAAATGCGTCCGCGTTCGCCTTATCAAATTCTAAACAAGACTTTAAAATGTGTTTAGTATCTTCATAATTTCATCAAGATCAAAACACTACAGTCATGTAGACTTTTTACGCGGTACTAATCTTCTTTTAACTTTGCTGAACGCGTCCCGTCCCGTCTTTGTACTTCCCCAGGAATCCCTAAATGAATAAAGTGCAAATAATTCACGCTTGTATGTAGGGTTTGTCGGTTTTTAAAAACCGGTTTTTTGGAGAAAATTATGAAATTCGAAAACCGGTTTTTTAGTAGAAAATATCGGTTTTGAATGTATGAATAACACTTAAAAATTTTTGTTTTTATAATTTACATTATACAATACACAGTTATATATTTTCTAATTGTTTTAATAAGGTTTTCTGGAAAAATTACTATTCGAAAACCGGTTTTCTAAAATGTCGGTTTTTGTATAAACCCTATTTGTATGCCTACATTTACATTCACTACATTCTATTTACGTCGAAAAATAGTCATTGGCCTCATTTAAAGTATATTAAATTTCATTACGTTGATATATAATAATTTATTAGTGTGTTAATTCTGATATTTTCGCGAACGGATAAGCCTTTTTTCAAATTGTAAAGTAATAAACGCGATATTATCCGTTCAAAGTAATTTCACTAAAAAGTGTAATAGTGTATTTGATTTTTGTTGCATCAGGAGCGACTGGTTAATCTAGCCGTGCTTTCAATAGAAAGAAAAAATTCAAAAGAAATCGATTTCACAGAAGTTATTGAGGAGTTCAGTAAATTGAAGGCACGAAACCACATATGGCACGCTACAAAAAATAAAAAAAACTATCTAAAAAACTAAAAGCTGGGGGGCCTCATTCAGCTATGCCGCCCCGGGCCTCTGACGGCCTTAGTCCGCCACTTGTCCGCTGCAATTCCTACCTGACATCTCTGTTCTATGTTTACCATATTCCCTATAACGTCTGTCTCGTGGATAAAAGTAGGTGTTCTGTTAAAAATTGCTATGGTCTAGTTTGGTTGAAAGAAGAAAGTATAGGTGACAGTTTTATTGGGTCAATGCCAATTGGAACGTCTTAACTATAGGAAGACGCCTCCTAATAACTGCTGAGAGCAAAATATTGGTTGTGGCTTCACATTCATATTAAACCTTAAACAATACATTGTCTGGGTTTTTGTTTCTTATATCTAATTAATAATTTTTTGGGGAAGAAATGACATTTATAGAAATTATTTCGCTTTTTACCTCTTGAAAAAAATGCACACTCCCAATTAGGAATAACAAGTAGTTAGATCAACGTAATTGATACGGTATGATGTAATTTGGATGTAGAACACTCATTATTCTCGCTACAAATTTAATTCTGTTTATTTGTCCTCGTGTCTGGCGCATCTCAATCGATGCAAAACAAATCTTACATAATCGCCCATATTTTCAGCCATTGTCTAATTGTTACATACGTTCACTTATGCGGCTATAAATACTATATTATATCTATTCGCATATTCACATAACATCAGTGTATTTACATACAAATGTATTAAAACGTGGGTACAAATTTTAACTGAGTACCTACATAATTATTAGATATTTTAACAAGCAATAGAGGCAATAAAAAAATCAACAGGCGCATTTATGTAAAGTAGTAGCACGCTTAGCGTCTTGAGTACGCTCCTGATAAGTAAAGCCGTTTATGGAATAAAAGAGTGGTGTCTAGAAAATATACCTACAGAATCATGGTTTCTACTGCCTCAAAGTATTTTTTTTATATCGAAAAAAGATAAAAAAATATTTGTATTCTGCTTGTAAAGTGCCCTCCCATTTAATTTTTGTTCCTATTTCAATGTGTGGTCCTACATCAAATAAACTTTTGGTAGTATTTAGAATAATCGGAAAAGAGATGCGGTGTATCAAGCATCAAANTACAAAATATTCTTACCTTAATAAACAGAGGAATGTAACATTCTCAGGTTTGCAGGTGTGAAAAGCAAACTAAATCCAGGAGGAATACCATAGCAAAAAACTTGGGGTGGAATTCAAACAAATCAATCTCCTCTTGCTCACTCATTCATCTGTTGAAAATTCACTCCATCATGTTGCAAGTTGAAGACGAAAACAGCAAATCAAAAATATAATCCAGGAATGATGATATCTCCACTTCTCTACATGTCGAATCCTTCTTATTTTTTGACTCCTTGTTTAAATGATAACCTATCGAAACAATATAATGTTAGTTTCATCATACATATTTTCTTTTAAAATATTAAGAACCATAACTTCCACAATTTTTCTATTACAATTCACAAAACTACAAACCATTTCCTAAATACAACATAAAATACTTAAAGATTTCTTACCCTTTCGACAAATAGCTCCTTTTCAAGTCCAAGAGAAAGAAGTGTGAAGTGTGCTTTTCCACATTTCGACTCCTTTTGAATTACCATGTTTATTTATTGTTTTAATGGAAACCTGTTGAAACAACTAAATTACATGTTCACTAGGTTTTATTTTATTATTAATAATAGTTACCATTGTTAACATGAATTTCTCGACCAGCAGCTTGTTAAAAGCATTTTTGGAAATATGTCTCTGCCACAGATTTTCCATAGCTAAGTAGTTCATCCAGATGATCCAAGGATATTAGCTCAAAGCAAGCCTATATTATAGGGGAAAAAAAAAATAAGTTAAAACCCAATCTCTAGAATAAGAAGACAAAAATAAAACTTTTTCTAAGGGCAATATTGAATTTTGAAGGCAGAATAATATTTTTGAGAAATATTTTACTTATTTTGGCTATAAAATGAAGCAATTCTTTACAACATAGTCACATCAATATAAAAATTCTACAATCATCGCCTAAAACTGTTCTCAAAATTCAAAAATTTTAACAAATCCCTAATTATTCGATCTTAAATAAACTAATAATCTATAAAAATTTACAAGTAGATGAGTGAATAAGCATGATGTCATGATAGACCACCATGTTGGAGAATAAAACTGCACGCCACCAAAGTCGTTCAGCCAAAAAAAATCTAAGCAACAGTAATCGAAATCCATCAATCACTAAATAAAAACGTATTCCACACAATCAAATGAAAATCGAATAAAGATTAAGACTAAATATGTACCATCAAACGTCGCATCCGTTAATGGACCAGCAATATACGGCAGCAACACGAAAACAGCAGCTTGTCGTCTTCTCGAGGAAGTGAAGACAAGATAGTCTTAATCTTTATTCGATTTTCATTTGATTGTGTGGAATACGTTTTTATTTAGTGATTGATGGATTTCGATTACTGTTGCTTAGATTTTTTTTGGCTGAACGACTTTGGTGGCGTGCAGTTTTATTCTCCAACATGGTGGTCTATCATGACATCATGCTTATTCACTCATCTACTTGTAAATTTTTATAGATTATTAGTTTATTTAAGATCGAATAATTAGGGATTTGTTAAAATTTTTGAATTTTGAGAACAGTTTTAGGCGATGATTGTAGAATTTTTATATTGATGTGACTATGTTGTAAAGAATTGCTTCATTTTATAGCCAAAATAAGTAAAATATTTCTCAAAAATATTATTCTGCCTTCAAAATTCAATATTGCCCTTAGAAAAAGTTTTATTTTTGTCTTCTTATTCTAGAGATTGGGTTTTAACTTATTTTTTTTTTCCCCTATAATATAGGCTTGCTTTGAGCTAATATCCTTGGATCATCTGGATGAACTACTTAGCTATGGAAAATCTGTGGCAGAGACATATTTCCAAAAATGCTTTTAACAAGCTGCTGGTCGAGAAATTCATGTTAACAATGGTAACTATTATTAATAATAAAATAAAACCTAGTGAACATGTAATTTAGTTGTTTCAACAGGTTTCCATTACAACATAATAAATAAACATGGTAAATCAAAAGGAATCGAAACGTGGAGAAGCACACTTCACACTTGTTTCTCTTGGACTTGAAAAGGAGCTATTTGTCGAAAGGGTAAGAAATCTTTAAGTATTTTATGTTGTATTTAGGAAATGGTTTGTAGTTTTGCGAATTGTAATAGAAAAATTGTGGAAGTTATGGTTCTTAATATTTTAAAAGAAAATATGTATGATGAAACTAACATTATATTGTTTCGATAGGTTATCATTTAAACAAGGAGTCAAAAAATAAGAAGGATTCGACATGTAGAGAAGTGGAGATATCATCATTCCTGGATTATATTTTTGATTTGCTGTTTTCGTCTTCAACTTGCAACATGATGGAGTGAATTTTCAACAGATGAATGAGTGAGCAAGAGGAGATTGATTTGTTTGAATTCCACCCCAAGTTTTTTGCTATGGTATTCCTCCTGGATTTAGTTTGCTTTTCACACCTGCAAACCTGAGAATGTTACATTCCTCTGTTTATTAAGGTAAGAATATTTTGTATAATTAATATTAATTGCTCTTTATTAATCTGTTGCCACCCTATCTGTTTCAGATCGACGGTGGAGNTAAAAAGTGTAATAGTGTATTTGATTTTTGTTGCATCAGGAGCGACTGGTTAATCTAGCCGTGCTTTCAATAGAAAGAAAAAATTCAAAAGAAATCGATTTCACAGAAGTTATTGAGGAGTTCAGTAAATTGAAGGCACGAAACCACATATGGCACGCTACAAAAAATAAAAAAAAACTATCTAAAAAACTAAAAGCTGGGGGGCCTCATTCAGCTATGCCGCCCCGGGCCTCTGACGGCCTTAGTCCGCCACTTGTCCGCTGCAATTCCTACCTGACATCTCTGTTCTATGTTTACCATATTCCCTATAACGTCTGTCTCGTGGATAAAAGTAGGTGTTCTGTTAAAAATTGCTATGGTCTAGTTTGGTTGAAAGAAGAAAGTATAGGTGACAGTTTTATTGGGTCAATGCCAATTGGAACGTCTTAACTATAGGAAGACGCCTCCTAATAACTGCTGAGAGCAAAATATTGGTTGTGGCTTCACATTCATATTAAACCTTAAACAATACATTGTCTGGGTTTTTGTTTCTTATATCTAATTAATAATTTTTTGGGGAAGAAATGACATTTATAGAAATTATTTCGCTTTTTACCTCTTGAAAAAAATGCACACTCCCAATTAGGAATAACAAGTAGTTAGATCAACGTAATTGATACGGTATGATGTAATTTGGATGTAGAACACTCATTATTCTCGCTACAAATTTAATTCTGTTTATTTGTCCTCGTGTCTGGCGCATCTCAATCGATGCAAAACAAATCTTACATAATCGCCCATATTTTCAGCCATTGTCTAATTGTTACATACGTTCACTTATGCGGCTATAAATACTATATTATATCTATTCGCATATTCACATAACATCAGTGTATTTACATACAAATGTATTAAAACGTGGGTACAAATTTTAACTGAGTACCTACATAATTATTAGATATTTTAACAAGCAATAGAGGCAATAAAAAAATCAACAGGCGCATTTATGTAAAGTAGTAGCACGCTTAGCGTCTTGAGTACGCTCCTGATAAGTAAAGCCGTTTATGGAATAAAAGAGTGGTGTCTAGAAAATATACCTACAGAATCATGGTTTCTACTGCCTCAAAGTATTTTTTTTATATCGAAAAAAGATAAAAAAATATTTGTATTCTGCTTGTAAAGTGCCCTCCCATTTAATTTTTGTTCCTATTTCAATGTGTGGTCCTACTTCAAATAAACTTTTGGTAGTATTTAGAATAATCGGAAAAGAGATGCGGTGTATCAAGCATCAAATGAAATCTTCTTCGGTTATGATGATGGTCATACCTGTCGGAATCCTCCCGTTCAAGAGGTATATGTGTGTTTATTGAATGACTACCCAGCGACATAATCTAGATCTAAAGGTTTACGCTAGAGATACCCGGCATAGTAATTTTACCGGTTACCTGATAACCAGATGCCCGCCAAAAGCACTACTGGTTACTATGTACTACGTTCTCACTGGCTTTCCATGAAATACCACCCTAATAATTGTAATGAGAAAAAGTAACCACAAGAACTCTTCTCCAAATAACAAATACATTAGTATTATCATCATAAGGTCGTCAGTTCTAAGACTGGTTGGACAAGCACCTCCACTGCTTCCTATCCTGACCTAATCTTCGTATTTTCCTAAAACACGAACGCCCCACATCCTTAACTATTTGCGAAAAGTAGTCTAATCTAGGTCTAGCTCTTCGCCTCTTAAGTCCTGTTCCTGCCTCTAATAAGTCTCTCACTAGCCCTGAGAAGGTGTCCTGCCAACATATCTCGCCTGTTCCTTATTGACTTCCATAGAGTCTTCTATTCTCCTATTCTTTCTAATACCTTTTCAGTTCTAACCTTCTCTATCCACGATATCCTCATCATTCGTAGGTAACACCACATTTCGAACGCTTAACCTTTTCATTTCCTTTCCGCCGCGCTCACCGTCCATGTTTCGCACCCGTACAGCGGCGCGCTCCAACCTAATTAGTGTCCGACCGAAACCGAAACCGAATTTAGGCAACGGTCTCAGTTTCGACCGAAACCGAAACCGAAACCGAAACATCCTTATAAGGATCTTGTTTTGAGAGAAAAATATTTATTTTTTTATCTTTAAATCACATAGCTCTGCAGTCTTTGACATTTTCACTTAATAATAATCAAATCAAAATCAACATAACAACCCCTCATTTAAGGAAATACTTTAATTGCGCCTTAAAAATACTTAAAATACTTCGCTTGGATGGAATTTAACGCGCCGAACATGAATGACCGAGCAGAGCGCGAGAACTCCCGAGCGCAGTTTCGGTTCCGGTTGTAGTTTCGGCAGGTTTGCCGCCGAAACCGAAACTCGTTTTTTGCCGAAACTCGAACGAAACCGAAACCGAACTTTCGGTCGGACACTAAAACTAATAGAAGCTAGGTACATATGTATTTTGTGTGATACAAATACTTCTTGAAATGAAGTTCCAAAAACGGCATGGTATGGAATTCAATATGTCGAACAAGGTCCATTTATGTTAATGCATACCTAGTTGCTGAACTGAATCCAGGGCGTAATTCATCGTAAATGGTAGACACATAGCACCAAATCAACAATGGTCAGTAGTGGACAATATTTTCTCGAAACTGCCAGATACGGTTATATTATCCAGAAAATAATGCAAAAAAGCAACAATGAAATAAGAACAAAAAAATTTGGAATACCTAATTTCAGCGATAACACCAGATATTGCACAGTTTGCATCTCTGCAACATCTATTATTAGTTATACACTGTTGGAGTTTTTCAATTATCGTGCCTATTTTGGTTATTTCATTTTATTATGTTGGCACCGCCTTTTATTTCACCATAGTGATTCCTTTGTTTAGTTCTTTTGTAATGTTCGTCCAGATCGGTTCATAATTAATAAAGTTTCTTTTCAAATTAATTCTGTGTTTCCACTGTGTTTTTTAACCTCGCCAATATACACTTTATAAATTTGTTATTCTATTTTAATATCCCAAAAAGGACGAAATGCGAAATATTTGATTAGTATTTATAAAACAATAATTATTAATACAAAAGGTACAAATGGAAAACGTAATATGCATTTAAAATCTTTGAAGTAAATTTTCTCAAGTTTATGTGTAAGATTTTATAAATAAATTGGATTTGATTTAGTTGTAATTGTCTTTGTAAGGCACAGGTTAAAATTATTGCGCTAAAAGTAAGAAATAACTTTTATTTTACGCTTGATGAGTTTTGGTTGAAGTCTATGTAACATACACATTAGAAGCTTGGTAATTAATCATTTTGAAGTCGACATGCCGTCAAATGAGCCCGTGCAGTTTGGATATTTATGGCAACACGTGTAGTAATTTAACTGCTACTAATCTAGGAGACAGACATTAGTTGTCTATTTACATAGTTTAGTTAGCCGACGACGTTTTTACCTTCCCTACTAATTTGTAAATTGTGTTTTCGTACATTAGACTCGGTCCAATTAATTATTATATTACTAGATGTGCCCCTCAAAAAAGAATTTGACAAAAACAAAGCCAAATGTAATAAGTAAATCTAGATACAAATTACTTTTTTATAAACCATAAGCAACAGGGCATTTCGCATACCATTTATTTGATTTACAAATATTGATACTTTCGATCTGTAAACGTATTTTTTCGAAGTAAAATATACATGGAGAAAACTAAATTTTTATGACAAAGCAAAAATTACAACTTTCGATTGTAAATGACTGAATTTGTCGCATAAATAGTAGAATTTATTAGGTAACTTGTCACAATCTCAATTTTGACATGTTTCTTTAAAAATTATTTCAAGTTTCTTAATTATTACAATTAAATTTGTAATATCAACTAAAATACCTAGTAAATTTATTTCTGTTTTTATTTTTACAAATTTGGTCCCAAATTGTAATTTTTATTATTTTCGCTTAAATTGTAAATATCGCTTTAATATTTAGGTAAATTTTCATTTTTCATTTTCTTCGAGTACTTACACGATGTGGTCCAATAGTTTAGGAACTGTTTTTTAGAGTTCCGTACCTCAAAAGGGAAAAAGAAACACTTACAGCAATGGTTAGCAACTGGTGGACCGCGGTCCAGGACCGGACTGCGGAAGGTCAAAAACAGAACTGCCAAAAATTTTTTAAAAAATATTTTTCTGTCTACAGATAATAAAGTATGTTCATTGGGCTTTGAGTGCCACCCTTATCATTTGTTGAAGAAAGGAATATGTTTTTTCTGTGTTTCGATAAAACTTTTCAAAAACATTTGAACCCCATTTAAAAATACTTGTCGACCCCTGCCTTATAGAATCACTTCGTTGTCCATCTGTCTGTCAGTTAAGACTCTTTTTCTGAGAACGCTTAGAGATATTAAGTTTAAATTAATATCAAATACTCATTACGACTGCAATTCCTAGCAGCTGTGGACAAAATCAAACTTCTAAGTCAATGCAATGAAAAGATATGGACGTTTATGTCGCATATTTTGACATTCGGACGGGAATAAAAATTTGGCAAGAAGCAATGTCTAATAGCACAAGGAAAGGGAAAAACCTGAAAACCGTAAATTTTTAACTACATCGCAAAAAATATATTTTTTAGTTGTAATATTGTAATTATACCTTTCGGGGACTGATATTGGGGGAAACTTCAACAATACTCGGTAAAAGAGGGAAAAATCTTTTAGAATCAATTCTCTTGACGGAAGAACTATTTACAATTTTTGTCTTTTTTAAACAACAAAAGTGGCGCCATCTACTACTATAAGTATATTTTGTGTGAATTAAAGCCTTTTCTACTATATACAGTAAAAATTTTACGGAAGTTCCATCAAAAACAATCATTTTCTAGTAATTCAAGTGTTTCAAAAGCAAATTTATGGCAAAAAATGCGTTCGCAAAGGTCAAGAGTTTTACTCGAATGGATTAATTTACCGAGAGTTCGTTCCACTATGCGATTAGGCCAAATGGTGAACCATATGCTTCTAAT